TACCTTTTGGGCTGCCATACTTTTGTAACTTTTTGTTTACACCAAAACAAGAAAGTTGACTTTGATATCGTCTGGGACAACCACCTGCAGGAAGGGAAGCAATAACAATATCCTTCTCAGCTGTTCCTTGCCAAGTTCCCATTCCCTACGGGATTTTGGCACTAATATAAAACTTCCATAAAATACTGATGAACTGCATATTATGTAGCACGAAGTGGCATCTTCCGGGCCCCAAATTTATTTCCAAAAATTGTTTGTGGGATACATCACATGCCAAAATGAAATTAAGTGAAATTGTTTAAAAAATAAATTGCATACTTTAAGTCAGTGGTCCTCAGCCTTCCTAATGCCGTGACCCCTTAATACAGTTCCTCATGTTGAGATGGCCCCAAACCATAAAAGTATTTTTGTTGCTACTTTATAACTGTAATTTTGCTACTGTTATGAATTGTAATGTAAATATCTGATATGCAGGATGTATTTTCATTCAGTGGACCAAATTTGACACAATACTCGATATGCCCGAATTTGAATACTGGTGGGGTTGGGGGGGGTGGCTGATTTTGTTATTTGGGAGTTGTAGTTGTTGTGTTTTATAGTTCGCCTACAATCAAAGAGCATCCTGAACTTCAACGATTGAACTGAATGAAACTTGGCACACAGAACTCCCATAACCAACAGGAAATACTAGAAGGGTTTGATGGGCAGTGACCTTGAGTTTTGGAGTTGTAGTTCACTTACATCCAGAGAGCACTGTGGACTCAAGCAATGATGGATCTGGACCAAACTTGGCATGAATACTCAATATACACAAATGTGAACACTGGTGGAGTTTGGGGAAAATACACCTTGACATTTGGGAGTTGTAGTTGCTGGGATTTATATTTCACCTGGAATCAAAGAGCATTCTGAACCCCACCAACAATAGAATTGGGCCAAACTTCACACACAGAACTCCCATGACCAACAGAAAATACTGAGTTTTCTGATGGTCTTTGGTGACCCCTCTGACATCCCCTCATGATCTCCCCAGGGGTCCCGACCCCCAGGTTGAGAAATGCTGCTTTTAAGTTAATGCATTATATGATCATTGCTGAAAGGCTACTTTATGCACAAAAATGGAAAAATAAGTAACTACTCCTAAAAGAAAACTAGATTATAAATGTTCTAAAACTGGCTGAAATTGAATCGAATGCAAATTGTTTATATCAGTTACAAAGAAAAAAGAAAATGTAAAAATGCTTGTAGGTTTTGAGGATTGAGTAAAACATTGGGATACCAAGAGAGAATGAAGAAATCTTTTTCTCAATAAGAAAAATATTAGCAAGATTGCAATAATTTTTCGCTATTTGTCTTTGAGATGGTAAGTCCATCTTTTAATTTTATTATTTTGATTATTGCTTTTAATTAAGAAGGTGGTGGAAGTTTATTTATTTATTTACCCTATTTATACCCTGCCTTTCTCAACCCCGAAGGAGACTCAAGGAGGCTTACATATAGGCAATTATTCAATGCCTTAAAGCAACATACAATTCTGATGAACATTAAAATTAAAATTAATTTAAAAACATTACATTCAATATTTAAAATCAAATCATCCATTATCGTAGTCCAGTCATTGTACATATTCCATATCTATTATTGCACCGTAACTATTCTCCGAAGGGTTGATCCCAAAGCCACACTTTCACTTTCCTTCTGAAAGCCAGGACAGAGGTGGCTGATCTAATGTCACTGGGGAAGGAATTCCACAGCTGAGGGGCCACCACTGAGAAGGCTCTGTCTCTTGACCCCACCAGTTATGCCTGCGAAGAAGGCAGAACAGAGAGCAGGGCCTCCCCAGATGATCTTAAATCTCTGAGGTGGTTCATAGGGGGAAGATACGTTCAGACGGGTAAGCTAGGCCAGAACCATTTAGGGCTTTATAGGCTAAAGCCAGCACTTTGAATTGTGCTCAGTAGCAGACCGGTAACCAGTGGAGCTTTAATTGATGTAAATAGTTAGCTATATATGTCATATGTGGGGAAAAGCTTTTAATCAGAGAATAGATGGCCATCTGTCAGGGGTGCTTTGAATGCAATATTCCTGCTTCTTGGCAGGGCGTTGGACTGGATGGCCCATGAGGTCTCCTCCAACTCTATGATTCTATGAAAATGTATAACACTTATGCTGCTAAAATATACATATATAAGTATATAAGAAAGCAAAACAATAAAATTGCATCCAATGAGGGTTGCAAAGTAAGAAACAGCCCCTTCACACCAAAGCAAAGGACCTACTATATCTTGAGAAGAAGGAGAAGAACTCCTTTTTTTTAAAGTAGCAAAATCATATATCTGTGTAGGAGTCCAGGGCCTTCAAATAATTGTCTGCCTATACTCTATGTCTGATTTCAACTCCACTATATGTCCCTCCATATCCACAGTTTCAGTATCCATGGATTCAGCCATCCATGACTAAAAAATACCTCTTCTTTCAAAATCAATCCCCAAAGGAAATCCTGACTTCGCCATTTTATATAAGGGACACATGGCTATCAGCTCCCCTTCTGAATTTTATCTAAGCTAACCATACCCAGCTCCCTAATGTGGATTTTAAGAACAGTAGCATAAATCAAAACATGTTTTCAAAAACAACATTTTAAATCTGCACGATTTAAATCTGCACCATTTATGAATTCATCCAGAGTACTGAGCTGTTTTCAAAGAGAAAGGTAAATAAAAAAGAGGGAAACATGAAATGACTCCAAAATAGAAGTCAACTAGTTTTTTCTGGGAAAAGGGAAAGGGATGATCAACCGCACCATGACTTGCTCTGACTTGCATGTGGCACACTGCCTGACCGTGGCTCCTTCCAAGCATATAATTAATCCACGATGAAACACTTATGTGTGGTTTCCTTTTGCCTTCGAACTCTTTGTTGTACATCCAAATGCAAAAATCGGAGATATATGTTTGGACACTGATCAACAAAATAAATAATAACTGTTTGTCAAAGCAAGCCAAACAACCAACAGCCCCTTTTTGCTCATAATGCAATAACCCTGGCATAAAGGGTCCAATAAACACATACAGAAATGGAGAGAGAAAGAGAGAGACCATCTCGCATCAAATGAATCATAACATTAATGATGCTTTTCCAACTAACAACAAAGCAGGAATCTAATCTGTGATTTTTCACTGAGTATCAAACAGAATAATATCTTGGTGGTTTGCAACAAGAGATTTATGTCAAGTCGTATTCTTAACGTCCTAGCAGGAAGGCAGGTCCAAAAAACACATTGAGAAGGAGCTTAATCTGTTTTTGATGCATACCAAATGAATCACCCATGATGTTTTCCCCCCAATTTAACCTACCCTTCTACTCTACTGAGCATTATTCTGTCTGATCTCAAAACCAAGCAGAATCAGTCCTGGTTAGTACTTGGAAGGCAGACCACCAAGGGATACCACAACATCAGGTGCTGTAGGCTGTATCTTCATCTATATCTGTAGGTCGTTCATCTTCTGGTCCCAATTCAAGGTGCAGGTTATTACCTATAAAGCCCTGAATGGTTTGGGATCCGCCTAACTTCGTGACCGCATCTCCCTCCACCAACCTGTACGATCCCTTCGATCCTCTGGGGAGGCTCTCCGCTCACCCCTTCCTCTATCACAGACACGACTTGTGGGAACAAGGGAGAAAGCCTTCTCCACTGTGGCCCCCTGACTTTGGAATTCACTACCTGGCGAGATTAGGCAAGCCCCCACTCTAGCAGCCTTTAAGAAAGATCTGAAAACTTGGCTCTTCTGATGTGCCTTTGGAGAGTGACCATTCACCCCATTTCTGTTGTTCCACCTACAGTGTTGCCCCTATGATGCACTAAGTAAGTTTCTTTTCTCTAAAATCCTTAGGGCTCAGCTTAACTTGCCCACAACCTATTCTGAGTATGCAGACTTCAATCTCAAGTCAGCCCATTTCCCCTCCTTCCATCTCCCCCCTGTTTACTTAAGATCCAGTTAAGAGAATGTGAAAGCTATAAATACTTTTTGGCAACTTTTAAATTGGAGTACAAAATATTACACTAATACAGATTTTTCTTCTTCTTCTTTCAGCCAACAGAATTATCTTGGCGCCTTCTGTGATTTGATCAAGGCTGAAGAAGACCAGATCAATATCATCTTGTTTTTATTTATTTATTTGTTTGTTTGTTTGTTTATCGTGTTAGGAGCAACAAGACATTTATATTACATTTTAAACAAAACAAACAGACAAAACACAAAGTTTGCAAGCTTGGTAGTTGATTAAATGTCCTTTGACCAGTATCTGGCCACTTGGAGTGCCTCTGGTGTTGCCACAAGGAGGTCCTCCATTGTGCATGTAGCAGGGCTCAGGTTGCATTGCAGCAGGTAGTCAGTGTAATAATGCAGAAGTTGGCTATCTAACCAAATCCAAGACTGTAGTCACTTCTGCTAAGCCATGGGGTAGTCCAAATTCAAGAGTAAGATATGATAATAAGTAATGTATTCTTAGACATGCCCCAACCACGAGTTCTTGACATCTAAAACAAGGAGGGATGGTGGCTTGGTTTTAACAGGGAAGGGAGAAATTTAAAGGCACTGCTGGAGATTTTGCTTAATGGTAAAGTATATACAACCAAAAGTCCCAAACTGCCAAATTTTGTGGCTGCAGCTCATAACCACTTAGGAGCTTGGAAGTAAAAAAAATAAAATTCCAAAATCTGCCTGTTGGGAACTGCAGCACAAAACCACCTGAAGATCTGCACCTGTCAGCAAGGGTAGTCTTAAAATGGAACCCCCCAAAAGCATGTGTCCTAATGTAGCTTTTAAAAAAAGTTTCCACAATTTGAATTTCCAGTTAGGCTGTCATTGAAAAAAAAAGCTTTTATTTGTTAGTTATTAATTAATTATTATTCTACTAGTTTGTATTAGTACATACAAATACAGGTTGTGCCTGGAGACACTGGAATGGGAAGGAACAGAGGCTAAGAAATGACTTACCTGTTATTGAAGAATTTGAAGGAAGCGAGGGGGGAGTCTCAGGATTATTTTCATCAGATTTTACTGAAACAACACACAAATATAGATGTTATATATTAGCATTACTTTCCCCATTCAAAGGTCTAAATCTTGATGCTCCTAACAATTTCTACAGAGCTATTCGAGAGCTCCATAAACATTTCAAACACCATACATTATATTTACACAACTCAAACATTACTAAAAATCGCCTCGGTGACTATCCCCTACATGCACAAAATTTGGAATTTCTTTCTTTAATATCTTGTACTTCCCCCAATTACAGAAGCCAAGGGAACTTACAGTGTAAGTTAAAAACAACATACAGACAAAACAATTTGTCATACTAAAGTGAAAAATAAATCAAAATCAGTCAATTATGTGCTGGCTCACAATTTTAAAACATTGAGGATGGTGTCTATTAATTTGATATGTTGCTGTTCTTATATTGATTCATTGTTTTTATTGATGAGTGTTGTTTGTTGATTTAATTTGTTTTCTGTTGTTACGTAATGATTTCGTTCATTATCTGCACTGTTATTGTGTGTAAGCCTCTCCAAGTCCCAAGTCCCTATCATTATTAAAGCTTAAAAAGATAAAGCAAAGTAATGATAATATAACCATAACATTAGGAAGGGACAAAATACACTACAGTTCCTGTATCGATGGGAAATATGTTCCCAAATATGCAAATCATGGGTAACAGTAAACCCTATTGAAATGAAGGACTTCTAGTCTGAAAATGCCAAGCGTTGCCCTGGATGCAGGAGTCATACTGTTTTTCGCACTCAGCTATCCACTACTAATTGGAGATGTCTCCTGAGTAACACTCACCCAATTGAGGAGAAGAAAGGAAGTCCCATTAAGATCAGTGGGGCTAAAAGTCAGAGAAGGGATAAGAAATTTTTTGGACTACAACTCCCAAAGTTTTCCCAGCTACCAGACACATAAGTACATTTTCAAGTTCTGCTAAAATGACTCTTTTCTGTATTCCTTCTATACTTACTGAAACCTGGAGTATCCACATTTATCTCCACTAGCTTGGATTTAGAGTAACCAACAGCTAGCTATCTGACTGAAAGAATGACATGCTTCAACCCTAGAACATCTTCATGACTTAGTTGAAAGGCTATGCTTAAATCTCAATGGGATTTCCACACCACCATGCACAATGCCTTTGATGACAAAACTGTCTGGAAAAGAATCAGTTCTACTACATGCAACCAAGTTTCTTTCGGAAGAAGTGTATGACATGCTTTTTGACCAAAACTATACAGTCTAAGGTTTCTTTCACACTGTACATTTATAATAATTTGATACTACAATATGACCTCTGTATCTGTGAGGATATATTTCAAGACCCCTTGTTGAATACCTGAAACTGTGGATAATAGTGAGTCTACATTTTGACTATACTTGAACCAGAAGTCTAGATCTAGGGAAGTAATGCTACCCCTCTATTCTGCTTTGGTTAGACCACACCTGGAATATTGTGTCCAATTCTGGGCACCACAATTCAAGAGAGATATTGACAAGCTGGAATGTGTCCAGAGGAGAGCGACTAAAATGATAAAGGGTCTGGAGAACAAGCCCTATGAGGAGCGGCTTAAGGAGCTGGGCATGTTTAGCCTGAAGAAGAGAAGGCTGAAAGGGGATATGATAGCCATGTATAAACATGTGAGATGAAGTTACAGGGAGGAGGGAGCAAGCTTGTTTTCTGTTTCCCTGGAGGCTAGGACGCGGAACAATGGCTTCAAACTACAAGAGAGGAGATTCCATCTGAACATGAGGAAGAACTTCCTGACTGTGAGAGCCGTTCAACAGTGGAACTCTCTGCCCCGGGGTGTGGTGGAGGCTCCTTCTTTGGAAGCTTTTAAACAGAGGCTGGATGGCTATCTGTCAGGGGTGATTTGAATGCAATATTCCTGCTTCTTGGCAGGGGGTTGGACTGGATGGCCCATGAGGTCTCTTCCAACTCTTTGATTCTATGATTCTATAAGCATACCATTGAACTGCACTGGAAGACTTAGAGAAGCCTACAAAAACTTTCAGTAGTGGATTTTTTTTTTGGAGCATTCATAAGTGAAAACATGGATATCCAATCCGTAGATAAGAGAGTCATGTTGTACTTTAATTTGTATGGCTACACCCCATGCAATCTTAGGATTTGTAGTTTTGTGAGGGTATTTAGACTTTTCTGGCAGATAGCTCTACCATCTCACCAAACTACAAATTCCAGGATAAAACAATGAAAATAAAAGTGTTATAAAATGCTCAAACTGTGCAGTGTGAAAGAGACCTTGTGCAAACTTTCTCTGGAGTAGATCTCAGTGACATCCGACTTACTTATCTGCTTCGTCTCAGCTATGTCAGAGTAATTTCAGCCAAACAATCACTGAGTAGGCCAACTGTAAGCCCTGTGTCTTCATGTCCTCACCTTGCCCTTCCTTTTATATTCTTGGCTTCATGGAATGTCTCCTAGTTTGTGATGACATATGAACTAGGAATTGAATCACATCCTAGTTTTATATCTTGGTCTGCAAGCAGTACTCAAAGCATCTAGCTCTTCTGGTTTTGTTGTACTGGATAAACTTTTGCCAGCAGTGGAGATTTACAAGTCAATGTCCATCAACACTTGGAACTGCAACACTTTCTCTATCTCTGTCTTAAAACACTTTCTCTATCCTGTCTTAAACCAGAAATCATAGCTTAATGAGCAATAGTTTACAGATTCACCACAAATGATATCAATCTGCTAGTGTTCAAGAACCAACTACACACAATTTCTGTACCACAACTCTGCACAGAACAGTATACCTGGATAGCTGCCAGAAATGTCTGTAACCTACCACTGGCATACGGTAAGTTCGCTGATAAAGCTGACCCAAAAACAGAACAGGAAAAGAAAAGATGAATGTAAGATAAAGAGATATGAAGAGGTCGTGTAAGAAAGGAAATCAACAAGTGCAACTCACTGGTATCTTTGCTCTTTGGCAACTAAGCAAGGGAATAATAATAATAAACTTTATTTGTACCCCGCTACCATCTCCCCGATGGGGACTCGGTGTGGCTTACATGAGGCCAAGCCCAAAACAACAATTACATAAAATAAAACTGAAAATGCAAATAATGAACAATAATAACGCAATTACATAAAACAAATAACAACACAACAATATAGGATTACAATAAGCACAATCACAATAACATGGGCAAGCTACATGTAATGTTTCTAACCAGGTTAAAAACAGGTTAAAAACTCAAGCAAGATAAAACAAGGACAGATTATTTGCGGAGGAGAGAGTTCATTATAGTGGAGGTCGTGGAGCCAAGCTTTCCCATAGGGGAGAATGTACTCCAATAACAAAAACTGTTGAAGCTAAACACTAGTGTGAGGATGCAAATATATTCATCAAATGCACAGCGGAAGAGCCAGGTTTTGAGGTTCTTTTTAAAGGTTTCTAGGGTAGGGGCTTTCCTAATCTTTCCAGGTAGTGAGTTCCAGAGTTGTGGAGCCACAGAGGAAAAAGCTCTCTCCCTTGTACTCACCAGACGAGTCTGTGAGACTGGCAGGGGAAAAAGAAGGGCCTCCCCAGAAGAATAGAGGGCCCAAGTTGGTTCATGGAGGGAGAACTTATTTTGCTCCTATCTGGCCATTCCTTTGCCTCTTAACTGCCTTTCTTCTGATGGTTTGAATATTTGAAATTATGGGCATTTATGTATTGTGTTTGCAACATTTTTGTCTTAGGGCAGCTCTGAGTCTTTTAAGAATAGAAGGACAATTATTTTGCTCAGAACCTGAAAGCACTATTACAAAATAAAGGAAGTACAACAGCTAGATTCACTCGATACCAGTGCATTGGTTTTAAAAACTCAGTTAAACAGAAATTCAACAAGTTCTTTTGTCACTACAGAAAAGCTGCACATGAGACGATCTTTTCTGCAAGTCCAAAATTATAAGAAACCTGCTCTCCTCTACATGCTAAGACAAAATTCAAAACTATCCCACTCTCATATAATGCACTCATACAATGCCTTCATACTATCTGCATCTTTATTCCAGAATTCCAGCAAGGGATCAGTGTTCAATTGCTGCAGGACACATGAAGATTGCAAGGTCTTAAGCACAATTTCTAAACCACCCTTCTGAAATACCTTTGAAGTTCTTCAGATATCTTTTGTAATATTTATGACATTTTGAAAATCTCTCCCTATTACTTTCCTCTCTTGCTTCAATTCAGGAATTTCCACCATTGATAAACAAACTATGCTCTGATGACTTTCGACCTTATGAAGCAAACTGATTACTGTAATTTTAAAGACAAGTATTCCCAAATTTCCTGTAAAATTCTGGAGAGGGTTCAGCAAGTAGAATTTAGCTTATTACACAATTTTATTATAAATTACCTGCAAACAAGGGTATTGAGTCAGTACACCAGAACACTGACACACATTTTTTTTATTTTTCTATTATTTGACTCTGACACCTTTATAAATAACAAATGTACATCAATCTGTAATAACTATGGTAAATTTGTAGCAGAATGCACACACATTAAGCTTCACCAGACATGAAATTAGTTCCAGCAGGTAAACTCCCACTGGAGTCAGATATTAGGATCGTAGAGTACATCTACACCAGTGGTTCCCAACCTGTGGTCCGTGGACAACCAGTGGTCCGCAAGAACTAAAATATGGTCCATGGCCTCACCGTTACCACACCGTTGCAACGAGAGTGACTGGTGTCACAAAAATCTCTTATAGTGCCGAGGTTTATTAAATATGCTTTTATGTGGGCAAGCAGATAGTGACTACTGGATGGCATATGTTCTGTATCAGAAACTAGAGCTGATATGGTCTAACTAATGCAATTTTCTGAATCAGCACCCCAAATAACCAAACCAAATCTGAAGTTGACCAAAAACTGATTCGTAACCCTTTTGGTACTAATATTGGACAGTGGTCTCTGGTCAAAAAAAGGTTGGGAACCACTGATATACACTGTAGAATTAATGCAGTTTGACATCATTTTAACTGCCATGATT